AGAAGGAAAATTCCTCTCTTTTAACTCCAGAGAAAAGGAGAAACTTTCAAAAATCATTTTCAGTTTCCCAAGCACTTCACCAAAACAGTTTACAATATTGTAATTTGAATACTTTTTTTGCTTTGAGTTTTTTACACGACAGCCTTTCACATAGAAGGCTATGGTATTTCCTTTCAATCTTCTCGTTTCCAGGGTAAGCTACACTATATAACAAAATCTGAAAATAAATCTGTTCCTGGTTTGAAAGTGTTATTTCTTGCTTAATTGTGAAGTACTTGTTTTGGAAGTAGTTGTTATATTCCAGAAACTTTGTTTTTGTGGCTGCCACAAACTATGTTGAATTGGTTGAGAGTCAATGAGATATTCTTTGTAAAACTATAGCAAAATGTCTTGTGAGATGTTCCGCAAAAACAAAAATTTTGCAGTTTAATAGATTTTTCCATGTTTTAATAATATAACTAAGTAGGAAATGACATTTCTAACCCAGGAACATTGCATTACACTCAACCCATATAGCTATGAACAAAACTCAGCTGCCTCAAGGTTTGGGTTCCAGCATCTCAATTCCACTCCATCAATTTAGAAATATAAGGACAGGAAGCAGTGGAAAGAGGCTTAAATGTTATAAATTTTAGAAATACAAGTGCCTGACATGATGGAATGACTTGATTTCTTCCATATTATTTTTTTTTTACAAACCCAAATGCAACAAGTTCAGCTATTTCCAAGGTGGACAGGGTCATACTGTATATCCCCACTGTGTAAATATACATGGTTTTTTTTTTTAAAAAAAACAAAAACAAAAACAAAGAGTTTCTGAAAAAAAACAGGAAATTTCAATTCAGAACTGGCATGACTGAAAACATGAAGCTCAGATCTACATTTTGCAGAATTAAGCATTCAAAGCCCAAACTTAAATAGAGGGATCTCTCAGTTTCTTCTTGCTGGACCTTATATTCTTGGCAGAATTTGACACACATTGGAATTGTCAAAATCTGCTATAACTACTCATCTCTCAGTTCTGAATATTAGGTCATCTGTTTCATTTAGGCATCATCCAAATCTTCAGCTTTCTAAGGCTCTGTACCATTCACAATCATAACATTGTTGTTTTTCTCCCTCTTAATTGTTGCTCTCATCCTAGAATTTAAGTAATGGATCTTTGTATCGATGTAAACATTCTTGAATGTTTTTTTTTTTTTTTGTCGTGTCAGGAGTGACTCCTGGTGTGAGAAAATTGGCCATCTGCAAGGACGTTGCCCAGGGGACGCCCGGATGATTTTTTGATGATTTTATCATCCTTGTGGGAGGCTTCTCTCATGTCCCCGCATGAGGAGCTGGAGATTATAGAGGGAGCTCATCCGCCTCTCCCTGGATTCGAACCTGCGACCTGTCGGTCTTCAGTCCTGCCGGCACAGGGGTTTAACCCACTGCGTCACCAGGGGCTCATTCTTGAAATATAATGCTGCATCTCCTCCTTTCCTGTTTAACCAATTTCTCTGAAACAATACCCCTATGTCATTGCATACCTATCATGAGACTCATCCTATCAGGTTTCAGTGATGCCTATTATATCATAATAGCTTTGCCATGTTAAGAGTATAGGTTCATCTTATTTACTTCCTATGTTCTATGTATTCATTTAGAGACATAAGATCATGGGTTATTCCCCATAGTTTCTTGTTTGAGAGATTTTTCCCTTTCCACCTTTTTCCTTTTCCCCCTTTCCCTTTCCACCTTTGAGTTCTTGTGCTGTTTATCTGGTTCTCTATATAAGATTCAGCCTATTATTTCCAGTACATGTTGAACTACTCTCCTCAAGAATGTTGTCTCCCTCGCCCACATGACTCAGTTTAAAGCCCTCCTGCTCAGATCTGTGAGACTCTTAGCAAAAACATTCCTGCCAACTGCTGTGAGGTGCAAATCATCACATATAGCAAACAAGTGATCTTCTTTCCACCTGCACAGTTTACAGCTTCCAATTAAAGACTGAAAAAAAATGATAGACTGTGATATTTTGTTTGAACACATCTCTTACAAGGTTACTGTATCAGCTGAAAATGTTCTGGTTAACCACAGGGTGCCCTAGAAACCCAATTAATCTCCTGACTGATTAATTATAACTACATTACACTATGAACTGATGAAACCAATCTAACAAAAAAAAAGTAAAATACATAAAAGTCACCTTAATGTCACTTCTACTGAATAATAAACCAAGTGAGAGATGCTATATAAGAATCAAACTGATCCTTTTAAAGAGAGAAATAATTCCAGTGTACAAGCACAGCATATTTTTGGTTACAATATCAATTTTATACTGTGTTCAGTTCAACATACTCCCAAGTTTTAGCTGACAAGAGAGTAGTCAGGTGACATTTTGCTTGCATGACAACCAACATCTGCTGAAATTTTATTCATTTATTAAAATATCTATATACAGCACTTTTTCTGGAAATGTACAGTAAAATGAATTTAACCAAATTGGAACAGCATAAACAATTAAATTACTCTAAAAAGCTAAACAATATTGCAAACAATTAACAAATTAAAAGACATATTACAACATTTCAGACAGTTTAAAATGAATAAAAACATGTGTATAAGAAGGTGCTCCTATAATCAATCAGGCTCCAAAAGCTTTCACGAACAACCATGCTTTTATTTGAAGTCGAAACAGGAGCAATGCTGGCAGCAATGTTGGACACGTAATGGAAGGTGCTTCACAACTGAGGTGCCAACGCAGAGAATGCCTGTTCTATGTCCTCTGACTCATGGGAAACAGAGAAGAGCCCTTCCAGCAAACCACAAACCACAGGCAGATGAATATAAAGAGATATATAGCTTCAGGTATCAAGGTCCTACCCAGTTTAGGGCTTTAAAAGTCATTAACAGTTCCTTGAATTCAGACCAGAGAGAAATGGCAACTAGCTCAATTCCTTTAGCCACTTAATTCTGCACTGACCGCAGTTTCCAAATTGTTTTGAAAGGTAGCCCCATGGGCAATGCATTGCAATAATCTAATTGGGAAGTTGCCTGTGCATGGATTATTGTGTCCATATTATCCCCACCCAGGAAAGACTATATCTGGCAAACCAGTCTTTGGTCCCTTTATGGACAAAAGTGCAGGATATAAATACGGTTAAACAAATGAAAGAAATATACAGTGCTCAGTCACTATCATGAAGGACATGCTCTTGGACGATGTATCCAGGAAATATGCCGTTTATGTGATGTCCACCAGCTTTAAGATACTTTTAAAACTAACCTCATACAGACAGAACATGTATCAATTACCTTCACATGGGATGATGCCCTTCATTGGGAAGATCCTATTCTAACAATGGGAGCCAAACCAAACCTAAAACCGAACCTGAAAATTGGTTCAGAGGATTAATTCAGAGAATCTGAGCTGCACTCATTTCTAAAATGCCTCAGATGGCTTGAACCTAAACGGAAACTCTATGAACTAGTAACTCATTTAAGTAAATTTGCAAAAAATCAAAGTTTTTTCCACAATCATGATGGATAAGAAGAAAAATATGTGTTTTCTGAAAACGTTCTCTGCTTTTTCTACCAAGGACAGAAATTCTAGAAGTTTTATATTAATGATGAGATATGCAATGCAACTGATCTTCATTCAAACTTTTGCCTATTCAGCTTATAACCATGAGTTACTCCTCAAACAAAAATTCCTAGAAGTGGAGAAAAATGGCTACTAATTAGATCTACTATTCTTTGAATGTTCTTCAGCAAGATTCATTTCTATAATAATAAAATGTTCTTCATTGTAAGAAGAGTAAGGCTTTCACAAAGTCTTACAAAACTTTTACTGCATGTTTTCCACCAGAGGAATGCTGGTTTTTAAAAACTGCTTATACAAAAGCAAATCTCTACGATTGTTTTTCAGTGCTATAAGCTGCATTTAGAAAGATTAACTTTTGGATCTTAGCCAACATGTCCAAACATATTTAGTTTGATAGAGAATGACAATTGAGGACGATGCTAAATATTGTGGAAAATAAGACACACCGTAAAGTCCTAAAAATTAAGCCAAAGTATTCAGGAACATGTCTCTGATATGAACAAATATACTATTAGCAGCTTTGAATCTTATTACTGAGAGAGAAGATGTTTAAAAGGTTAAAAGAACCAAATCAATAAAGGAAGAGGGAAATTTTCGTTCTGTTAATTTGTAAGCTTCCCATGTTTTTCTGATGAATCAGAAGTCAACTACTGCACTACACAGATCTTCAATCAAATATCATAAAACTCAACATAAAGATAGTTTTTATTATCCCAATTATTTAGATAACCCATTCCCTCCTCATCCAATGCCCTTTGAAAGATATTGGAGACAGCCTTTAAAAAAGTGGCATAAAGCAAAGAGGTAACAATCAGGAATGCCTCTTAACAATCCTGGTTAGAAAAGAGCAAAAATATTTTTTTCCAGAGAAGCACTGTAATGTCAACAAAAAAGCAGGGTAAAGGTTTAATAAATGCCAGTTTTTCTAAGAACATTCACATTAAGGAGTTGATTGGTAGCCATGAGACCAAATGTGCCTTATTTGCACATATCATTTATGCAGTTACCTTGTCTGAGCACATTTTTACATAAACTAATTTGGCTTCAGAGGGTTTGTTAAAATGTTGCAGATTTGTGGAATGACAGCAAATTAAGAACGACTACTATAACCTGATTTCCTCAGTTTTCTTTAATATTTGTAAAATATATTTCGCATCAGCTCGAAGAACTCATTGTTACACTGCTTGTTACAAGTGGAGCAATCTGGGGAAGAAATATGCATTTCATATTCCTATGAGATAGATAGATAGACAGATATTTCTATTTCTTTAATAGTAAAAAAAATCCTATCCTTCTGTCCACAATGGACAGGCATATTATTTGGAATTTTAACTCAAGTCAACATACTTCTTTTTCACATTTCTACTATGCAAAAGGGGGGGCGGGGATAGCTGAGTAATTCACCAAGACTTACCTGACCAGTGCCCAGTAGTACTTCCTGATCTGTCCGTACAGGTCTCACTCACTGGCCTAAAAACTGTTTCCCATCCTCCAGTAGCGTAGCGCCAGTTCTGAGACTCCAAAATTAGCGTCCTTTGTGTGCCATATGCAATCATGAAACAGTAGACTACATGATGAAGTTGGCAACCATAACCACAGCCTTTGTTGATATTACAAACTAGTTTCTTAGCTTTGCTACAATCCTTGGGGTTCTATGGAGAATAAAGAGAGAAACAAAAGAAATGTTTTTCCCCTCTCAGAACAATTGAGAATGGTCATGAAGCAATTAATTAAGTGAAGGAGAGCATCACTTTAGAGCAACAAATACATTTGAAAGAGTTCTTAGAAATGAAAAAAGTACTTTAAGGAACACCTGATTAATAGACTATACTGTTTCAGCTTTTGATACAATTTAATCAGAGTTGGAAAGGGGCTTTTTGGACACTTCCACGATCTCTCATTCACTATTATGAGGAACAACTGATTGAGGATTCTGCAAACTTTAGTCCAAAGAAAAAAAATTCCCAAGGAAATAAAATAGAATTCTGATGTTGACTAAGGATCGCATCACATTAAGGCTGGGATGTGCCATGCATTGTGGCAAATCTGGCAGGAGGAAGGGAAAATCTGTTGCCCTGTACGCCTTCTCTCTCATGGGGGGGGGGGGGGGGGGGGGGAGAGAGCATTGCAGCCCAGATTCACCCCATTGTTTCCTATGCAACACAGGAAGCCTCCCATGTTGCTACTGCAGCCTCCTGCAACTCTTCCACTTCACTTGAGGCAGTCTCGCCGGAAGTAGATCAACGTTGTGCAATGGAAGCCGGCAGGCTCTGTGCCTCAAATAAAGTGGAAGAGTTGTAGGATGAGGAATTTTACCCATCTGATGTGGTCAATGTTGTCTGCAATAGTGCTGGGTTTAAATCTTTCTAGTGAAAGTGTGTGGGCAGGATGTGGCACTACTTCTGCTGCAATTTACACTTCTTTGAACTTTTCTAAAGATACACCACCAATTTTCAAAATACCCTCTAATTCACAACTTGTGAATAACTTAGCATTGCATCTCACAAAGAAACCCACTACTTGACTTTGAGCTAATTACTACCTTGCATTTTATAGGCACCAAGCAAACTCATTCAGAGATGGCAAGTTCCACCCCTCTCTCACACTTCCTCCCGCTTCCTCCCTTTAAAATCAAATTCAGGATGTCATGATCAAAAATGGATTAGAGGGAAGTTGATAAACTGAAATTCTACTGGTGTGGGAGGTGCCTTACTAAGCCTAGGATATTGTGTACAATCACCCTTTTATCAGAATGAAGAGCTCTAGAAAGAAGTACTTTTATAGTTTGGATGCAGCCTTATCCCTTGGAAGCTTGAGGGCCACTTTATATTGACACTGACTTAATCTAGATCAAAATTTCAATAGATAAGCTGCAATTGCTTATATTCAAAAACAATTTAGAAATAATTATCATACACTTTGAGCATTTCATTCATAGTACAGCAATGCACTCTATGTAGTCTGCCTTTAAAGACTACCCAAAACGTACAGTTGATGCAAAATTAATAACTGAAGTAAAAAGTATGGAAAATACCTGGTTTTGAATGAAAGATATTAGCTACCAAACCATTTTAAGTACCAAGAGAGCTGTAAAGGATTCAGATACTTACAGAACTGCCTATCTCAATCATGAATCCACTTAGACATTAAGATCAGCATTAAATACCCAACTATGGTGAAATAAGGTAAGTTATGACTGGTGATGGAGTGTTTTCAGTTGCAGCATCCGATTTATATGACTCTTTTCAGTATCATTATTCATTACCTTTTAGCAGTGTATTTGTTTCACAGTTGATTTAAATAACCATAGATCTTGAGTATAATGCTCCTTTTAAGAAGTGATTAATTGAACACCGTTTTTCATATATTTTAGTAGTTTTACACAGGCCTTCTAGGTGATCAGATGAAATATGCTAAACTAGCAGAAGAAGCCTGAATCACAGTAGCTAGAAATGCTTTCATCCCATTGCTGTTTCCCTCTCAACTATCTAGGTGTTCTATAGTGCTTTTTCTGTCTCCTAGAGTGAGTGCTCTCTTTCTCTCCTTACCAAACAATTTATTCTTTATTTTTCCTTACCAAGTCAGTTGCTTTCTCTTTTTCCTCATTCACTCATGTGATGTATCTCCCATCCCCAACCCAGCGCTTTTTTCCCCTGTACTTTCCCCCTTTCTTATTAATCACTCTTTCTCATTCAGTGTTTCACTCTACCTCTAACCTCTCTTACCAGGTAAGCAGGGCCTTCTTAGCTCTCCTGAATGTCTCAAGAAGTGCAGGAATCCTGCAAGGAGAAGCAGCACTCACAGTCAGCATGTTGTTTGTTCTGCCATACCTCTGGAGCTGTACTGAGAGTCTCTGCTGAAACAATATGCTAAATCTGACTGAAGCTTACTCTCTGCAGGTTAGCAAAGCCTCTCATTACATGAATGACGATGGTATTGTAAACTACAGACAGATTTAAATAAACTAAGCCAATGATTAGAACAAATAATCTTGTGGTATACAATTCAAAGGATAAATTTCATTTATCCAGCTTTCACGGTCTTGGAGCTTTGGCAGAAACATACACAAAAGGAGACTTTGACACAGACACCTTTATTAATACAGATAAATCAAAAGTACAACCAGCCAGGAAGATGCTATTTAATCAGAGTACAATGTGAAGTCTGTGAAGTCAATTTGTAAAATTACTTCTTAACTTCAAAATATTCACTAATGGTGATACTATTGGCACAGTTACACTTAAAAATGCCTGTAAATTAAAATGTGTGTGTAGATGCCACAATTCTTGAAATAAGCACTACAGGATAATGACTGGGAAGAGGTTTTAGAAAACAGTATCTGCAGACATATGCCAAGAAGCTCACGAAGCCTACAATTGCTTTTTTCTTTTTTCAAAATATGTTACCTATGAGAGAGTGAAAGATTTTATAGGATCTTGTGCCTCAGCTGCCAGAAGGAAATTGGTGCAAGTTATGAAATTTTTACGAAGTCTGTTATAAGAAGATGATTATTCAATATGATGTGAGCTTGAATTGGCTCTCAAAGCATTATGTTTGGCTCAGAAGAACTCTACCAACATCCTTATGTTTCTGAATCAGTATCATCAAGGTTTTGTGATCTGGATCTGGACAGCTCAGTTCCATGAATACACGTTGTTATCAGGTGAGACATCTATTGAAGACTATTTCCTATGAACCATCTATGCTGTCTGGAATACAGTATGACTATTTAGATGTTGATGAACTGTTACTCTCAGCATTATTAATCATTATCTATGCTGACTAGGATTGCTTGAAATTTCAGTTCAGGAACATCTGAAAGACTGTGCAATTCCCCCCTCTCCCCGGCTGTAAAAAATCTCACATCCTATCCTACAGCATTTTTTATTTTTGTTGTTACTGAGTGCCTTCAAGTACTTTCTGGCAACCTTATGGCCGACCTTAAGGTGAGCTTATCACAGGGTTCTCTTGGCAAGATTTGTTATTTGGGACATCAGAGTGACACTATTTTAATAGTCAGATTATTACCTTCTCAAAGCACAGAGCCCCAATTAACTGGATCGCCAATTACGTTTGTCTATTTTCAGAAAGTCAAGAAGCCATATCCTACGAGTCTTGTGGGGGGGGGGGGTCTTTGCGGACCTGTGGAACATCAGGCTGGTTTTAGCCATTAACACTGTGGTTCTAAGATATCTTTCCCACTTATTTACAGTGATATCTTCTGCAACAATTCCACTTGGAAAATTTCCACTTCTCAAAATGTACTACTGTACTTCATAAAATTATTAGCTAACTTAAATTCATATAATACAAATCAATTCATGCCATTTGAAGGGATTCATGAACTTCAATCAGATGACTATATTTAAAGGGGGGGGGGGGAGAGAGAGAGAGAGAGAGAGAGAGAGAAATGTACCACTCATTTGGCATGCTAGAATTATTTTACTATTTTTTTTTAGTATTTTCTTGTATTTAATAAATCAAGAGAAGTGACCCTACCAATCTGTCATGTATTCAAATGTTTTAAAAATACTCCAAAAAATAGGAGCACAAACAGAAAAACAAACACCACAAGAGTGTTAACCCTTCCCTGTGCTATCCAAAGATATATAGATATAGATAGATATGGCTGGACTAGTTACTGACCTAGTTATGTTTGTTATGTTTTTATTCAAAAATTGAGCCATCCCCTGCTCCAAGTACAAAATTTTAAAAGTATGTTTCAAGACAAAAATTAGTGTATACTAAGTGCATCATTGCAATTTTAAACAGAAATAGCTCAATATATCAGTTCAGTTCCTATATTGATATTTTTAATTGGTTCGACCTGCTAATATGGAGGACTTAAAGTGCACCATGGTTCAATTATCCAATGTGATGTAGGTTGATAATTTTCTCATTCACTTTTTTTACAAACATTTTCTTTCTTTTGAAAAGAATTATTTTCACAAAATAAGTAAAGTAATCAATTAATATTAATCAAATTGTTGTTGTTGTTGCTGTTCATTCGTTCAGTCGTTTCAGACTCTTCGTGACCTCATGGACCAGCCCACATCAGAGCTCCCTGTCGGCCGTCACCAGCTCCTTCAAGATCATTCCAGTCACTTCAAGGATAACAACCATCATCTTGCCCTTGGTCGGCCCCTCTTCCTTTTTCCTTCCATTTTGCCCAGCATAACTGTCTTCTCTAAGCTTTCCTTTCTTCTCATGATGTGGCCAAAGTACTTCATCTTTGCCTCTACTATCCTTCCGTTCAATGAGTAGCTGGGCTTTATTTCCTGAAGTATGGACTGGTTGGATCTTCTTGTAGTCCAAGGCACTCTCATCTTCCTTTGCTCAGCCTTCCCTAAGGTCCAGCTCTCACATCTGTAGGTGACTGTGGGGAATACCATTTCTTTAACTATGCGGATCTTCGTTGCCAGTGTGATGTCTCTACTCTTCACTATTTTATCGAGATTAGACATTGCTCTCCTCCCAAGAAGTAAGCATCTCATGATTTCCTGGCTGCAGTCTGCATCTGCATTAATCTTTGCACCTAGAAATACAAAGTCTGTCACTGCCTCCATGTTTTCGCCATCTATTTCCCAGTTGTCAATCATTCTTGTTGCCATAATCTTGGGTTTTTTATGTTTAGCTGCAACCCAGCTTTCGC